GTGTCATGTTTCACGAACTGTAGGCCATCTGTTCTGCCTGCCTGCATTTTACTTCTGCAGAACTATAAACGCACCTCTACCTCAGGGACTATAGAAAGGCATTAGGATTCTTCTGCTTTTCATTATCACAAGATTCAGTAACTCATTTCATTGTCAAGATAATCCCCTTTTACTCTTTTGCGCTTGAGAAGTATGCCAAAATGACAAATAAAATCCCAGATGTTACAGACCCAATGAGGTCTCTACCTTTCCTTAAGTGTTGGGTTTAAGCTACTTGGGACACAGTGTCAAAAATGACAGGACCCTAATACCTACACCCAATATTCATTAAGATTTGTTTGTGATTTGTATACTTCCACTTCAATTCTCAGGGGCTGCTTAAACGTTAAGTTTGTCTTTTGGCTTTAACTGTCAAAGAATTCATTTCCCATTGTTCAAGCACTGGAAAGAGATGCTACTTCTTTTTAAAAGTAACAAAAGTCTTTGGGGTACTGTAAATGGCTTGTTACTGCAACATATTAGTTTAGGTAGTCATATCTAATTTAGAGTTTTAGTTCCCCTTGGGCTTACTTGCACTTCTGCAGCACCCAACGGCTATGATGATGCTTTAAGAGATTTCCCTCAGGAGATCAGTTAACTATGGAATGAAAAGCTGAAACTCTGCTTTGAATCAATTAATGGCCTAGTTTTACTTTTTAATACAAGAAAAGGAACTCTAGGTTCTTTACATTTTATTAGTCCTGAATTTGGTGAACCTGAGAAGAGGCACTTGTACATGTGAAAAATACTGTGGTTATGCTTTCTACTTTTGTTTATACACAAAGATAAGTACATCTGGGTAACAGAGGCTGCAGTAGTGAAAGTTATTTAAACCACAGCTCTTTGACTAGGAGAGTTCAACTCATCGCTTTTCTACATGGGTGAAAAGTTCCCTAAGACCCTATGGAAAGGTGATTTTTGCAATGTTTTCCTAATTCTGACTCAAATGCCAGCCAAGATGGCCTCACTTAGGCTCTTCTTGCGAAGCTTTGTGTCACCTCGCTTGTTCATCTCCTATTTCCCTTTTCCTACCTACATGGAGGCTGCCAATCTAAGGGCCCCTGAGGAAGAACAAGGCAGCCTGAAGTACGGCTATTTCACAGCTTGAACTGTGTACCCTCCTTTACTGTAATCTAAGGAGTGCCACCCTAATAGAGCCATAATTTACTCCGACAAGGGGAGCTAAAGTCTGCAGCTCACTCCCCATCCTGCCTGTGGAAAGTGCTACACTGCTAGTTCAGAATTTATAGCTACATACTTACGGTTTCTCCAAAACAACATATTTCAAACAGCAAAAAAGACTGTGTTGTGAGTGTATGTGGGGGAAAGTGTGTTGCTTTTAAAAAGAACATACTATAGAATGGGATGGACTTAATGAACAGCAAAAGAAGTATCATCTGCCTTAAGATGTTTCAGAAAATAAGATGTGATTTCTAAATGAGATTCATTTGATTATTTTTTGCAATATTATATACCAACTTCAATAATACAAGTATTACATCTACTAAAATCAGAACTTCAAGGGCCATTTTACCAAAGACATATGGGAGAACCTAAGTATTCTAGCAGAAATATTAGTTAGGTTATTATAAGTCACTGTTACACTAGCATCTGTAGAGCGGAATTTAAAAAAAATCAAGTCCCTTGAAACCTGTAGTTCAGGGTCACTAAATAGTACAGGAGGCTAAGAAGAACTTGTAGGGTTTTTTAAAGTGGAAAATATTTAACCATTTCATTTTGTTAAAAATGATGAAAACAATTCAGTGAATAATCTCTACATATTTTGTTGTAAAAACAGTAAATGACTATGAAAACATTTCAGATTTATATGTATTGGCAATATCTTGGGAAGGAAATGAACTTTCCCCTTTTGCTTTTCTTTTATTCTTTTTTTCCCATACAATTCCTATAAGCTAATGACAGTTCAGAGGAAAAAAAATATCACTAGGTGAACTCAATTATTTTTTTAATTATTATTATCTCAGAAGTGAGGAAACATGCCTACCATACATCCCCAATAGTGTTTCTCAAAATATTACTTAGAACGTAAGATTCCTCTGGCATTTCAGCTCCTAAATTAAAACTCATCTGGAAAGGACCATTTTACCCTGTTTATATAACATTGTCACATAAAGAGTGTTAAAAAAATATTTCGCTAAAAATAGCTTGCGTAAGTTAGGGATTAGAGTAGTTTCTGCTGCTATAATTGTTCCTTTGTAGTTTTTTCCATGATGTTTTTGCACAGTGTTTTTGACTGTGTTTATTAAAGTCAGCACATCAAAAAGGATCAAAGAGAAAGTGAGTGAGAACCAAAGAAACCCCAAGCATGTTGTCTCATTGGGGAGTTATGCAGATTTGCATAAACAAGTGCAAATTGTTGAGGTTTTAATGAAAATTTTCTACAATTATTTTATCTTAAGTCATTCTATATACAATAACATCTGTACAGCAGATGGCTATACTGTACCAAGGCAAGGCTCCTTTTTCTTTCTATGTTTAATAGTACATCTGAGATGACTACTTTTGTCACTGTGCTCAATTTGGTTCAGTGAATAATTTGAAAAGTGCAGCTGCTGCAGATGGTCGCAATAGTTATATAAACTGTAAAATCAAAGACACAGTTAAGTATTTCTGTATTAGATTCAAACTATAAAAATCTGACATTAACTCCATTGAGCTCAAAGATGTACCATAAAAAACTCTGGTTGAATGCAGAACAATGTCACTTGAAAAATATGAAACAGAAATGTGACTACTGGTAGGAGAGCTCTTTTTTGGTATGTGGGGGTACTTGTCTCCACTTACCAAAAATATACCTTGAATATATATTTGCATGTATTTCATCCAACTTGTAAAGCATGAATTTAAGATACTCAACTATATAATTTTCAAAGCTTAAATTATTTATTTTTAAAAAGTTTTGCTAAGCTAAAAATCAACTTTTGAAAGGTATGTAATAATCTCTCAATTATAATTTCTTAGAAATCATCTTTCAGCAATAACTAGAACTTAATACAACCTTATTTCACTTAATTATAATTTATTATTATTTTGCTAACTTGGTTATCTTCTTACAGTGTTTGAATATGACACTAATTAAGCAGAAATGTAAAGAAAACAGATGTGGTGTTTGTTAAATTGTTCCCATTAAATAGCTAACTTCAATTTGATTTGATATGTTGATACAAATACCTACTTTAGAACATTTGTGGGACACTACACGTTAAAGTTGTATAAAGTAGGTCTTAGTTGAAGTTATAGTTTCTATTTTTGTCTTTAACTAGATTTAAGAGCATAATTTTAAAAGGAATAAGGGTGTGTAGTTTTTCTAGTATGAAGGGGAAAAAGCAAGTTATAGAATGAGTTTACTATTTTGTAGAACTTAGTGAGGGGCTTTTCTAGAGATGTTTACCAAGGATAGACAGCATTAAGTAGGAAAAACAAAAACAGTCAATGAATAAAACAGAAATGAAGATGAATAAACAAAAGGACGTAGAATTGACTACGGTACATTTAAATTCTTTCACTCTGAGTCTAACCTTTCCCTGTTATGATTAAGGTATGACTGGAAAAGCATGGGAACAGACCCAGTGTTGTCTGGGTTGCAATTTATTTGGGGATAAATCAGACATTGGAGCCTCCAGTGTTTCATAGTCTTTCATGTCCCATCGACCTTACATTTTTCATTTCTAACGTTTAGGATAGTTAACAAAAAAAAAATACAGTGCTTTTAGCTTAGCTGGCTTGGTCACAAATATTTCTGATGAGAAAGAAATAAACCATCTATTTTTTGGCCTAAAATTCATACTTCTCAACTGTAATCTTTTTATTTCTCTCTCAAACAAAAGTGCCCAAACCGGCTACATGGAACTAGGTTACAGTTAGTCTCCAGCAGCCACTTAATTACTCTTCAGTAAGCAACTAAGTTGCATATAGTTGCAAGATTTACTTCATTCCTGGTTCTGCCCCTCTAGGCCCAACTTTTTCCTGAGAATTAAGTTGGAAAAAATGTTTCCCTTTCGCTACTTCTACTTGCAAAGTAAAATTTCTGGCCTTGTGCCTAAACTTTCACAGCAGTGCCGCCTGTGATTGAAAACTGCCCTTTCCCACCTGTATGTTGTCTTTTCTCTTTCCCTTCTCACATTCCTTCTACTTACCCTACCCTTCTGGATTCAAAGTGAAAAGCACATAATTCCATCACAGTAACAAAGGAGGGAAATGCAGACAGCACTGCCCATTCATTTCTCACCTGCCCACCCATCAGTGACACTCAGTTTGCAGAGTCCCTGCCCCGCTTTGGTAGGCTAGGCACAGAAGCACAGCCGGTCCTTGCTGCATGTTGCTGGCGTTGCCAACAGCACTGTCCTTGCAAGTTCAACCCCAGCTTCTGTTATACTCTGTGTAGCATACCTGTCACCAGAGCAATTTTTCTTTTTTAAAGAAACTGTTATCAGTGACAGAATGTAATGCATCAGAATTGCCCGTCAGACTTGAAACAGATTTTTGGGGCTCATGCTTAGAGTTTCTGATTCAAAAGGTCAGGGAGGGAATGAGAATTTACATTTCTAATAAGTTTGGGGTTGGGGTAGGGGGAGGAGGGAATGATGCTGTTGGTTCTGAGATAGTACTTGGAGAACCACCACTTGAATTGCTCACAAAACTTGACACTATTGTTCTGCTACAGCTATTTTATGTAAAAAGAAATTCAGGAAGTTTTACAGACATTTGTAGGAACATGTCTAAAGAGGTGGAGAGGAACAGTTTAATTCAGGGCCTTAAAATACTTAGGTTCAAAGGACTGTTATAAAATTATCCCTTAAATAAGGTCATAAGTCAGAAATGTCTTTATCTCTAATGATTCTTAAAACTTTTAACCTCATTTTTCTTCAAATTCATACATTTTTAGGTGTTAACAAGTCATACTGTCATGTCCCTGCCTCTCCACCTTTTCTGTGACTTACCAGGTACTTTTTGTGCTGCTTTGACATTCAGGCTCCCACTGAAGGCTGATAAAGATGCTAACAGGCATGGTTTGTTAGGATGGGGGACAGTTTCCATGGAGACCACAATTTGAGTAGTATGGACAGAAATTTTTTGAAAGCAGGAAATAGTTCTCCACAAGTTTTCTTGAAATGGAATCTTTTGTGTTCCATCACCACGAACTTTAGGTTTAGACAACTTTCCACGGTAACATTTAGAGTCTGCAAGCTCATCTTGATTCAGCATGGTGTCCAACAAGGCTGATGTCTCTTTGCTGTGTACATTTTTTATCTTCTTTAAAAAATGGTTTATCTGGTCCAGCTTGGTAAAACTCAGGTTTGCTTTCAAAGGCTTTGCTATGTCCAAGTTGATGTCTGCTACAGAATTGAAAAGATAAGAAAATTATTGAAGCTCTCTTATTGAATATAAACCTTTACTTCCCTGTCAAGCTCCTATTTAAGTTTCTAAACATCCATATTGTGGACTCATTAGGATGCCAGATGTTATAATTCTTTTACTCATCACCTACCTATTCTTTCCATGTAGTTGCTTGAAGAAACTGCCTGGACTACTTACACGCCTGTATTCCTGTTTCAACCCAAGTGACTGACTGTTCTTGACAGAGTGAAGGCCAGATATGGACATAGACTTCTTCCCTCCGACTCTGAGGCAAAATTAAGCAGCCTTTCTAGTTTGTTACTTGGCCTGGCATTCTCTCCTCCAAGGTAAAAGGAACCCCCTCTAGTATCCCTACAATGTTTGACATAAATGCTAGTATGAATATTTAACTGATTAACTGAAGCCGCTTCCTCTACCATTCTTTGAGCATGTACATGCAGAAAATGTTTCTTTCCCCTTTGTGACCTGCTGCAAACAAGAGTTTCTACATCTTTTCCTATAATTGGTATTGATATAATTTCAAATACCTCATTCAGTGTAACATAGGTACACTGAGATGTCTTAAAACCTATAGCCCATTTTGTATGTACTATATACCAGATATTGTCCTTATTTGCCACTTAGCTATCTGACATTAAAACTTAGCCTTATTATTTGTTTTTGCCTTCTCACTTCTATTTTTATCATTAGTAAGACATAGATGACTCTAAGTATAGTGAAGGCAGAGCCTGCCACACCTGGTAGTGGGCACAGTGTGTCTCATGTGTGCATGTGTCCAATAAATGTTTGAGCTCAGACGAACCTAACAAGTGTTCCTTTCCTTGGAGCCTGAAGATGTAATACAAGACACAAAACCAGATGAAGCTAGGAATAACAAAGGTAGTAAGCAGGTAAAGTTAATATTCTATTAGGTGAAATAGGCAAAGAGGATAAAGAGGCACAAACTTCAAGTTATAAAATAAATTAGTCACAGGGATTGAAGTACAGCATATGGAATATAGCTAATAATATTGTCATAGTTTGTATGGTGACAGATGTTAACTATGCTTATCATGGTGAAAATTTGGTAACATACACAATTGTCAAATCTCTATGTTGTTCATCCAGAACCAATATAATATTGTATATCAACTATACTTGACTAAAATTTTCCTTAATAAAGCTACTATTCTACCTTTCTTTGTATGGAGGGCCTCTTCCTACCTTCTGCAATGTCAGCACCTTAGGGGTGGCTCCTGGCTCCCTAGGCTTCCTCCGCACACCATCCCTATTAAGTATGCCTTCCCTTCTGTTTCTTTAATCAGGTCTAGCAAAATTCTGAGAGTTCTACTTCTAGCTAGTTGTTTGCTGCAAGGAATCAGCCATTTGAGTCACCCTTCTGCAGTACTAAAATGTTCCCTACTCCCATGTTTTTTTTTTAACTGGAAAAAACACCCTAACTTAAAGGAATTGTTTTTTAACATCTTATTGATATATCAACTCACATACCATATAACTTACCTATTTAAAGTACATCATTCAATGACTTTTAGTATACTCACAAGATTGTGCAATCATTACCATACTACTAGAACATTATCACCACACACACACTTCATATCACTCAGTAGTCACTCCTCACCCATTCCCTACCTCTAGCATCAGGCAACTACTAACCTAATGTCTGCCACTATAGATTTGCCTATTCTGGATATTTCATATAAATGGAATCATACAATAACTGGCCTTTTGTTTCTGGTTTCTTTCATGTTGCATAATAAATGTTTTTAAGGTTCATTCATGTTTGAAACATGCATCAAAGTACTTCATTCCTTTCTGTGACTGAATAATACTCCACCATACGGATATACCACATTTTGTTTATCCATTATCATTTTATGGACATTTGGGTTGTTTTCACCTTTTGGTGATTCTAAATAATGCTGTTGTGAACATACATGTGCAAATTTTTATGTGAACATATTTTCAATTCTCTCTGGTACCTACCTAGGAGTGGGACTGCTGGTTCATGTTTGACTACAGTCATCCTAGTGGGTATGAAGTGGCATTCAAATGTGATTTTGATTTGTATTTCCCTAATGACTAATGATGTTAAACATTTCTTCGTATGCTTCTTGGCCATTTGTACATATTTTTGGAGAAATGTCTATTCATATCCTTTGCTCAGTTTTAAATTGGGTCATTTTATTATTGAATTTTATAAGTTCTTTATATATTCTGGATACATGACCCCATCAGATACAGGATTTGGAAATATTTTCTCCTATTTTTTAGTTTTTGTCTTTTCATTTTTTTTGATGAAATCATTTGCAGCATAAAAGATTTTACCTTTTGTGAACTCCAATCTCATTTTGCTTGTGCTTTTGGCATATCAAGAAACCATTGCTTAACCCAAGATCACAACAGTTTACACCTATGTTTTCTTCTATAAGTTTTATAGTTCTAACTCTTACATTTTGGCCCATGATTGTTTCTGAATGAACTTTTGTGTATTGTGCCAGGTAGAGGTCCAGTTTCATTATTTTGCATGGAGATAACAGTTATACCAGTGAAGGCATTATTTTTGATGTGTACAGGGGTACTGAAAGAGGCTGGTGGGCAAAATATTTTAGGGAAATTGGGTGGTTCAAAAATGATCCATATGTATACCTGATCCACATCCTTTTATGTGAACTTCTAAATTCTGTGGCCTCACAGAATATGCCACCCTTAACTATAATGAAAAAAAAGAACAATCTTAACAGATGATATCAACACCAGAAAAACAAAACAAAGCTCAAGCTGAAGGAAGACCCAGATGTTGGGGCCGGAAGCTATCTGCTTTTTCCTGGATATTTCACATGCAGACTTAAACTAAGGATCAGAGTGCTTAACATGCAGCCATAGTAGCAATTTAGTGACCTACCTGGGCAGTTGCCCAAAAATGTATCTAAACCAACTGCTGAACATAAAGGGACATTATCCCTGACTGTAGACTGGCAAAGCATCAATGGGATGGTATGTATGAGAATTGCTAACTACAATTTTGATACAGATCCTCATTATGTCAGGTTTCACTGTGGCACAGAAAAAACTTTTTATACCTCTGGTTAATTTTCTTAACTTGTCTTCAGACTTAGTCTTTGAGACTTAGTCCTTGAGATTTCCTTCAGGAAATCTTTCTTGACTCCTGTGGCTGAAGGAGGTTCCTCTTACTCATTGCTTTCAGAATATCCTGTGCATTATGCCATCATCAGGCACGGGATTATACTATTGTTAGAGCTACCTGCTTAGGTATCTGTCATAGACTACTAAACTGCGAGCCCATGGACAGTTAGGAATGTACTACATCTTAATATTCTGAGTGCCTAAACTATTGTCTGGTCCACAGTATTAAATACTTGAACAGTAAATGAGTATTTAATGATGTAATGAAGGAAAAATGAATGAATTTTTTCTTTCTACTGAACTTCCACAGGCTCAACAAATCAATTCATCCAGAACAAACCATTAGTTCCTCTCATACATGTCATATTCCCTGTCTCAGTTAATAACTCTGTAATCTACCAAGTGGCTCAAATCAGAAATCTGACTTCTTGACTCATTTAATTCTCTTTTTTCCTTGTCCAAATTCATTCAATGATTAAGTTCTGTAAATTTTACTTCCAAAATATTGCTTCAGCCCAATCTTCTTCTCTCCAGCATTCCAGCTACTCCCCCGTTTTTCCCTTGACACCTTTGACACTGTTAAGCTATTATAAAGCCTCCTAAATGGTTTCTTAGTTTACTGATTCCCATTAATCAAGGCTCCAGAGCAATTTCCAAATAATTTGTTTCACATGTAATCCTGATTAGCTCACTCCTGATTAAAACTCTTTAATGGCTCTTATTTACCTATGGGATAAAAGACGAAGCTCCTTAGAATGGAAAAAAGGTCCTACCTTTCCTTCTCTGCAGTCATTGCCTGTCTCACACATTACAGCTCCAGAAATATCAAAGAGTTTGTAAAGCCACTTTCCCCCAACCTATGCTATGTCACACCACTAGGTCTCGGCTCATGTTGCTCCTTTCTCTGCTGTGGCCTTTTCTTTGTCTAATGCCTAAACTTCAGTATATTAGTCTGCTTTTTCTCCAAGAAGCTGACTCATAAAACTGGTGCTGCACAAGTGTCTTTTTGAGACTATACTTCCCACCAATCAAGAGGATCCTTAAGTGCACATTTTTCATCTTTAATACTGAGCATCAGACATCAGATTCAGCAAGAAGTACATGTTTGGTCAATTCATGCTGGAGCACATTGTAATATGGGTCTGTGGTAAGCAGAATTCTGAAATACAACCTCGTTCCCCTAGATTCCTCTCCCCTGGTTATTTTATTATTATTATTTTTTATTAAGGTATCATTGATATACACACTCTTATGAAAGTTTCACATGAAAAACATTCTGGTTACTATATTCACCCATATTATCAAGTCCCCCCGCATGCCCCATTGAAGTCATTGTCCATCACTGTAATGAGATGCCACAGAGTCACTACTTCTCTTTGTGCTATACTGTTTTCCCCATGACCCCAACCCTCCACAATGTGTACTAATCATAATACCCCTCAATTCCCTTCTCCCTCTCTCCCCAACCACCCTCACATACCCCTACCCTCTGGTAACCATTAGTTCCTTCTTGGAGTCTGTGAGTCTGCTGCTGTTTTGTTCTTTCAGTGTTGCTTCATTGTTATACTCCACAAATGAGGGAAATCATTTGGCACTTGTCTTTCTCCGCCTGGCTTACTTTACTGAGCATAATACCCTCTAGCTCCATCCATGTTGTTGCAAAAGGTAGGATTTATTTACTTCTTTGGCTGAATAGTATTCCATTGTGTATATGTACCACATCTTCTTTATCCATTCATCTACTGATGGACACTTAGGTTGCTTCCTTTCCTTGGCTATTGTAAATAGTGCTGTATTAAATATAGGGGTGCATATATCTTTTTGAATCTGA